ACAGCAAAATTGTCCATATCGTGTAACAGCAAAATTGTCCAAATCGAGTAACAGCAAAATTGTCCAAATCGTGTAACAGCAAAATTGTCCAAATCGAGTAACAGCAAAACTGTCCAAATCGTGTAACAGCAAAATTGTCCAAATCGAGTAACAGCAAAATTGTCCAAATCGTGTAACAGCATGAGATAATTGTTCACCCCACAAAATGTTTAATAACTAAAATAACACTAAACTAATTGATTTTTTTTCAGGTTTTCAGATAAAACGTTTAACCATCTTGCTACCATTAAAAAAATGGGTGCAGTAAAGAGGAAAACTAGATCAGGAGGTCACAACAGGAAGAGGGATCATCATTTTAACTTAGAGCTAAATACATTCTTATTGTTCAAAGCAGGGTCCAATATATATATATATATATATATATATATATATATATAGTTTATGAAAAACTAGGTAATCCGTATGGGTAAACCTAAGGAGGATAAAATCCAAAGAGCTCAATGTAAATTCAGAGCAAATAATTTAAATAAAAACAGACCACTTTAAGGTTCCATGTAATAAATTATTTCACCACAGCCCTTTTAAAAGGACTGCGGATCACCAGACTTTACTTCCAAACAAAAAATGAAAAGAAAACTTACACATTTTTAACGGGCCGTATTAAACATATGTAAATTAACGAAGTGAGGAAGTGAGGGGGGAGAGAGAAGACATGAGTGAGTTAGCAGATATTGACACATTTAAACGGTTAACTTAACGGAGGTTATATATTGACATCGAAGGGGTAGAGAAGAAAAACACTTAGAGAGAAAAAGAGAGAATGAAGTTATGAGAGAAGGTGTCACTAATTTTCTTTGTAAAAAAAAAGGCTAGAAACAGACGCTCTGGTATATGTCAGGATATTGTCAACAAAATCTTCTCCACTTCACTGATAACATCCAGTTCTTGATAATGACTGGGATTGCCGAAATTACTTGATCAAAACAGAAAAACACACATAAACTTCGCACAGTTTATTTTTAATTTTGATCCGATATAAATCTTATTCGTAAGCTGGTATAATATAATTAAGATATAAATAGACAAAAATTATCAGTTGAATTTCATCAAATTTATTTTAATTATCGTTTTTTCCGGGTTACAAGACGCACATTTTTTTCCGAAAAAATATCCTAAAAAATACATGTGCGTCTTCCAAGATGAATGTAAGGCAACGTCCAATCTCATGTCACCTAATTGGCTTGACTGATAGGAACATGGATTTGTACGTTGACTCATTACACTATAATATTAGATATCTATCTAATTCAGCTTTTTATATGATGTAACCTCAGTTAGGTGTTACAATATTTCCAAGACTACAAACCTTCCTGGAGCCTAGCGACAAGCTTAAACATACTCTTTTTACTAGCAACGGCGGGAGTCTTTCTGCTCTTGACTAGTATGTCATTGCCATACAAACAAAATCGGACGAATGATTAATGTAAAACAATACGTGGCGCCATATTTGAAGGACGCATGGCGAATGTGTCGTTGTATGAGAATGACTTTTTTTCTTAGAAATTTATTTCTAATATTAGGGTCCGTCTTCCATGCCCCAGCGTCTTGTAAGCCAGAAAATACGGTAATTCATCTTGCCTGAAGACACACACAGACACTATATATATATATGAAGGAAGATTTTATGAGAAATAAGTATGACAAAGTGGAAAAAGTTTACGCACGACGCGTTGCGTCCTTTAGGTGAAGACAACGGGGAAAATTTGAACACGAGACGCCAATGATACATTACGTCTTGTAAGCCGGAAAATACGGTAATTCATCTTGCCTGAAGACGATATTCAGTCATCAGCCCCCAACGAGGGTGTCATGTGGCACAAGGCCTTTTTAACGTGGGCATTCCGAGCCCGTGGGCTCGGCCAAAAATATGCCCATTGAACCCGTATAAACGGGTTCAGGACCGGTTTTACCTCCCCGAAGGAGACTCCGCCCTCCGGCGTAGCCTCCTTCGGGTTCCTCCCGTCCGTAGGAAGAGAGTTCAACCGAACAGTTGGTTCAGAGTTGAACGACTGACTCTGAAGACACACACAGACACTATATATATATATATATATATATATATATATATATATATATAAAGAATTATTTTATGAGAAATAAGTATGACAAAGTGGAAAAAGTTTACGCGCGACGCGTTTCGTCCTTTAGGTGAACACACACGGGGAGAATTTGAACACGAGACGCCAATAATACATTACGCGATGATAACCATTATGCCATATCCCTGTGTAGATTTAGTTTTTTGGGTTTTTTTTTTTTTTACATGCTAGCATTAGAACTTTCTTACTGAAAGTCCTGTGCTAAAAATGGTATGATTGGCATTAATGAGCTACGGTTAATTTTCAGACCGCACGGACAACCTTGTACAGATTTAACAGTGAAATATGATCGATTCCAATTGCTTTTTCGTTTAGTAAAATGGCCCTGTTATCGAAAGAAAACAAAGTAATAAAATTTAATGAGCCGGACAGCGGCATGTTCTCCAAATTTTATCTATTTTCTTAATTTTCTTTATTTTTTTTAAATTCCTTTATTTTTAAATCTATATGACACACTTCCCCACTACCCCAAGAAAAAGGGGGACAAAAAAAAGATTCCAAAATACTTTTGAGTCTTTGTAACAAAGAGCATACATACAAGGTATCTGAGGTCATGTCGAGCAATTTTTAGAAGTTAACACAGTCACCACGCCTACTTGTATCTCCACTAGATTTTATCTTGCTTCTGAAATAAAAAAATAGAATGACGCGTCTTATACATTGAAAAAAAAACTTCTTCCTCCGTTAGTTAGTAAGATAGGTGACGCGTATGTTACACCCTGTCATTACCTCAGATAAATAATGGCCCATTCCGGGGAGAAAAGGGAGAAGAAAACGTTATATCAGAGAGCAATGGTGTAATGGTTAGTAGACCTGTCTCGCTAAACCAATTAAGGCGGCATTGTGAATTCTATCCTCACTGGGTACTCCACACTTTCGGCATTGTGCCACATCTGAATGTAGCATAGGCAATCATTTTTCGGGCTTGCAACGCTTAGAAAATGGCGATATTAGAGACGCTGTTTCGTTTTACTGAAAGAAAGGAAGAAGAGTAATGAAAATCGCGAAAGCGATAAAGTGCACGTTTGTTTCACGTCTGCTTCAGTAAAATAGAGAACCTTGTCAGTATTTAATAATTTTATTTGTACCCTCTTACTTCTGTAAATAATGACCTTCAGTCATATTTATGATTGTTGACATATCTTGTTAAAGCTATTAAGCTTAAATATTTAACGATGCGGCAGAGGGATTTCCAAGGTTATTTTGGTTTATTTTGTTTTACGGCATATCAACATCTCAATGGGTTATTTAATGCCGTATAGGCTCGTATGAATAGAATATATATTCTCTTTTTTAATTTGGTTTGGTTTATTTTGTTATGTCATATCAACCTCAATGGGTTATTTAATGCCGACAAGATTTTAGGATAGGTTCGTATGAATAGAATATGTATTCTTTTGGCTTAGTTTGGTTTGTTTTATTTTGTTTTACGGCATATCAACACCTCATTGGCTTATTTAATGCAGACTAGATTTTTAAGATAGGTACGTATGAATAGAATATGTATTCTTTGTTTTAGTTTGTTTTATTTTGTTTTACGGCATATCAACCTCAATGGGTTATTTAATGCAGACAAGATTTTTATGATAGATTCGTATGAATAGAATATGTATTCTTTGGTTTAGATTGGTTTGGTTTATTTTGTTGTTATGGTCCAAGTTCCTTGTACCACGGTGATGGTCCAAGGTTAGAACCAATGAAAGAATAACACGAACACAGGTATGGAATACAAAGATATATTACAACAGAAATATAATACAAAGAAGTAGAAGTATTAGTAATGACTATCAGATTTGGTTAGAGTGAACTCTGTTGTCTCGACAAGTATCACTATTCCAATGTCCTTACAATATGCTCTTAATTATCTCTCCTCGACTTACAACATCCTCATACCTCTGAGAGGCGCAGTATTATAATGTCAGGAATAGTCCATTATTATTATTTGTTTTACGGCATATCAACCTTAATGGGTTATTTAATGATAACAAATTTTTATTATAGGTTCGTATGAATAGAATATGTATTCTGTGTAAGAAATCACTTTGTAGATCAGGTTTCATTGATGTGGTTTTTAAAGAGAGTTTTTGCGGAGTTATTTGATGCTGGTAATATATTTTTTAATGTATTGCCAGTAATGTTTTTTTGGTATTTCTTATTATACAAATCTATTTCTATGCTTCCATAGTTTTGGGCCAGTTGGGGTTTTAAGTATTTGCCCATAGCTAGGACCCTAACAGGTGCTACCACTCCTGTGGTTCCACGCTCCTCAAAACCTTCCGATCAGAGGCTTTCCTCTCAGATGTAGTATATAGTCACTCCAAGGAATACGGACATTTCGTAGTAATGGAAAATGCATGTTGCTTAGCTGCTGATTAAATTAACCATGATGATTTATCATAAAATTAAGACAGGAAAACTTCAAAAATTTTCACGTGTTCTGCCAGTACATAAAATAATCCTATGTGTATTGTGTATACTAATCTAGCGATCCTTCCTTAGGTGCCATGAGTGATGCGCGCTTGGGCGATCCTGTCTCCTTTCGATTCATAACTGACTTGGCAACAAGATTTCCACTGTAGGCCATCGCCACTTTCTTTAATAGACTGGTCTACAACCAAGGCTGTAGGATCCAGTCTGTCCTGCTATTTAACCCATAGCCTGGGGAGACGAGATGGAGCTGTCCTGCTATTTAACCCATAGCTGGAGGAGAAAAGATGGATCTATACTTTTCCCACGGGTATTTGCGCATAAGTGAATGCAACGAACTCGACTTGAATTCGAATCCGGCTCTCCGATTTCAAATTCCGCGCCGTTGTCCATCAAACGACTCACACATCCAAGCTGACAGCACCTGGTATTCCGAAGTGGTCACCCATCTAGTTACTGACCAGGCACAACATTGCCTAACATGTGATCGCAAGTGAACCGGTGTTTCAACGTGATATGACCGTAATTTGCCGACAACGTCAAAAAAAAAAAAATAAATAAATAAATGTGCCGTGTTCCTTCAGAATGCGTGCGATCATGGCTCTCCACAAAATCCTATCCTTTATAGCTCTAAGCAATGCCTTACATGTAAGCCGCTAGTGGCTCGCTGGCGGGCCGCCGTTGGCAAAACCTGCGGTCCTCTGGTGGCAATCACCGTCGGGCCGCCGCTGCATCTTTAGCGGCCCACCAGTGGTAACATTGCCGAGACGAACACGCCGGCGGTCCGATAAACGCGAGCGGTGGCAGATTGGTGAATTTCGTATAGAGTGGTAGTCTCCTTACTGTCCCTCTCAGTCCTGGTTGTGCCATCCACGCTCGTTAGGTAGCGAACTGGTCTCGCAGACCATTTTTTAGTCGAGTTAGTTTGATCCTTATTATTATTGCGGGCATTTGTGTTGATGTGCGATGATGAGCGAGCCAGTTTCGCAGACCATTGTTGGCGGCAAGGTCTCATCATTTTAGAGTCGAAAACGGCTAGATGTAACCGCAAGTACTATGCTAACAGTTTCTTCTCTTGCACTTCTCACCTGTGGAACTCTCTTCTGTCTTCTTAATTCTTGTTCTTTTATTGTCCTTCCTCCCGTTTTTTTTTTTCTCTTATTTCCTAAAACTCAATAATCACTTGCATCTTAGTGGCTTTATTGTTTTGCTTGGGGTGAAATGATTTAAAAAACAAGTGAGCGTTTTTTTTTATTTCCATTTTCATTAACCCTAGAACACTAACCACGGGTATATAGTACCCAGCGCAAATTTTCCTATTTTTAATTACAATTTTCAGTACCTGATTTTCTTACCTAAATAATGTTTTTCAGTTTTTATTAATGTTAACTCAAAGTACAAAGTTTGATGTGCCTGCATGTAAAATATTTCAAATAAAGATTTATATTTAATATTTTTTTTTTTTGATATTTTCAAAATCGGGTATGATATACCCATGGTTAGTAGTTGTTATGTTCCAGGTTAGGACCAAGGAAGAACAACACGAACACAAGAGTAGAAATAACGACGGTATATTACACGAAATAATAATACAAGATGTGGAAGGTGTTAGTATGACTGTCACTCTGGTTTGGAGTGAACTACTATCGGCTCGACGCGATTCGGTATCTAGCCACGCCCCCACAAGGCCGAGTTTAACGTGGGTTTTCCGAGCCCGTAGGCTCGGCCAAAAAATGCCCGTAGAACCCGTATAAACGGGATCGGGTTGGTCAACCTCCCCGAACGAGACTCTGCCCTTCGGCGGAGCCTCGTCCGGGTTCCTCTCTGCTCAGAGGCAGAGAGTTCGACCGTCACGCCGAGAGGCTCGGCTTGATTCGGTATCTAGCCACCCTCCCACGAGGGTTGCATGTGGCACAAGGCCGAGTTTAACGTGGGTTTCCCGAGCCCGTAGGCTCGGCCAAAAAATGCCCGTAGAACCCGTATAAACGGAATCTGGTTGGTCAACCTTCCCGAACGAGACTCTACCCTTCGGCGGAGCCTCGTCCGGGTTCCTCTCTGCTCAGAGGCAGAGAGTTCGACCGTCAAGCCGAGAAGCTCGGCTTAATTCGACCCTCTCTCTTGAGAGGTGTAATATACACAGTATTAGGAAGAGTTCATTCTGTAGTTATAGGTAAGGACCCATAATAGTAGTATTGATGGTTAGTGTTCTAGGGTTAATGATTCTCCAGTCGTTACTGAGATTAAAGAAATCACAATTCACTGGTTTAGATAAATAAAACTCTGAAGCTAACTCAGGTTGTTCGTGGATTTCCTGACGCAAGAACACGATGTTGTTATTTCTTCTGAAAACTGTCCATGGTTCTGTACAAACCTTCACTATCATAATCAAATCGTCTTTGTCCGTAATCTAGCAGCTCAATTCGAAACTGACCTGTTGTACTCTCCTTTGAGGGCAATCGAAATCGACTAGAGAATTCAGTATATGGAATTTTGAATGTTAATCTTATAATGAATTTAGTCATATTATACTGATTCTGGATATTTCAATACTGTCACGTTAGTCCATCTAAGAGAAGGAAAACTTTTTTAAACCTCCGCTGCCGTACACAATTTATGGGAAAGGCTTCGGGAGTAAACCCTGATAAGAAATCCGGAGCCGTCGAGTATGTTACAGTTTTTTGTATATATTATGTAACTAGTGAGCCAATCCAAATGACTTGACTCACTTTATAGTCCACCAATAGAAAGTTAACCAATCAGAAGACGTAAAATATTCAATCCGTCGTGTATAAAGGCGGCCATTGTGTTCACTCTACCCGAATGTCCAGTCCAGCTTGTCAGGCGAAGAGAAACAGAAGGACGAACTATGCTCTGCTACTTTTATCGAAATATCCACTGCTAACCTGAACAACGCTTTCCTACTGTCTTCGAAATATTCACTGCTAACCTCTGGATTTTATACTCGAAGACGACCGTCATCATGAACAACAGAGTACACTTTTCCCCGTTGGCAAGACTCAATTTTTCCTTTTCTCGCTACCAAATCTCGGTGTAAATCACGTCTCCAGCGTGAACGATCGTTGGTGACATCCTCTCACCTCTCGATGCTCAAGTCTATTGCCGTTATGTCCCTTGTGCAGACATCACTGAAGCGAAGATGTAAACATTTAGAGAAACTTAAAAGGAAAACAGCCTCTTATCATTCAGTAATTATTCTCTTTCTTTTCTCTGTTCAATGACTCTCCTCTTTCACAACTTGCTAGCGGCCCTTAACTAACAACTAACAACTTAGTAATTATCTCAAAACGCCTTGTTTAAAGTGATAAATCACAAGTGTGACTAACAGAAAACTGAATACTTTTTTTTTATTTGTTCCCAAGCAAGGTGATAGTGACACTAGAACACGGGCGTTACTTTTTATTTTTACCTTGATGATCGCCCCGTACAAGGCACAAGAGCCACTCGAGGTAGAGGGTTACAGAGTTTATGGGGATATGTGAGTAAGATAATAAGTGAGCCTAAACTTGAACAGATTAAGATTGTAATGATCCCAGAAGCATCCTCTTGGGAGTTGGTTCTGACAGTAAAAGAGAATGAGATTTCTTTAGTGAGAAGAAAGAAGAATAAAAGAAGAGGATTCAGGAAGACAGATAGGTGTTGCGTGTAAATTTTTGCGGATTGTAGCTGGCAGGGAAGCAAGAAATCAGGAAGGACTTCCACAGTTGGGAAGTGCGAGAAAAGAAACTATTAAATTAGATCAAACGGTTGCATCTATCTAGTTCAATGGTAAAACGGTGAGACCTAATTGCCGATCTAGTATCGCGCTTCAATTCATGCAGTCGAGACATCAAGAAGGAAAGCTCAGCAGAATAATTGACAGGAAAATATTTGTAGAAAAGTGAGAGAGAAGATGGCCAAGTTCATTCTGGTCATTCCTGTGACGATACCGATACCAAGCTCTATTGGACTATACCTTTGCCTTGGATAACATCGGTGGTGCGAAGAAGGGCGACGTGCTGCATAGGAACCGCTGATCTTTCATAAAAACCCTGCCCAGGCCAGTGCTTTGATGAAGACAATCCAGCGTCGCCTCAGCGCGACGGCAAAACACGGGAAGCAACAGTCTACTGATGGAAGGATTCAGAAGATGCTTCTTTACGGAGAACTGGCTACCGGAGAGCATGAAGACGATGGACATCGACATCGAGATGTGGGAAGACGATCGCTCACGCTGGAGAGGCGCTTTACACCGAAAGCTGGAGTGAATATATCTCTATCTATAAAAGGCAGGATGTGTGTGTGTGTGTGTGTGTGTGTGTGTGTGTGTGTGTGTGTGTGTGTGTGTAACGAATGCACGACCGCAATTTTCGACTGATTTGCACCAAAATTTACATGCACATGCTCCAAGTTAGCGGGAATTTCCCAATTCCCATCGATAGTGGAAATAATCGATTTTTTCATGCTTCTACGGCACTTTTCATGTAGTTTGCGGCCATTTTCTACTGGCCAGAGTGAGACCCAATAGCTGGCTGCCACGAATAGGCAGGAAGATTCTATTGGCCAGCGTGAGAGCCAACAGCTGACTGACACGAATGTTAACTAGCATGCTAACATGCAAAAAAAATCGATAGCTGCATTCGTCACAAGTGGGAAAAATTTAAATCTGCATGGCACTTTACTCCAATTGGTTCATTCGCTTACTTAAACTCAACGTTGATTCTGATTCCGCAGAACTGTGTTGGATGTGAAAAAGTATTTGTTGTTAACATTCTTTTTCCATTCGGTTTTTCCAGTTACGAGTCTTTTTTTAAAGCTGATCGTTTTGTGTTCATTTTGTTTAGTTCATTTTTCGTAACAGATTTAATGTTTAGTATAGAGCTTAGAAAAAATTCGCAGTGTGAGATAGGCAAGAAGTAAGGCATGTATCAACATCAGCACGGCAAAGGGCACTCCTTTAAAGGTAAGGACGGGCAAAAATATTTTAAGTCAAGTGATAGCGATTGCTGTATGAGTCGTACGATTTTTGAATCAACCCCGGGCAACTAATAATTGTACATTTGTTTACTTGATGAGGAACGGTAGAGTACTGGACAGCGGGTCCAGATTGAGAGTCGAGTTCGAATTCCAGTTGGGTTCATTACATTCATTCACGGGTTAGTACCCTTGGGAAGGGTATGGTTCCATCTCTTCTCCACAGCTATGAGTAATTAGCAAGAGTAAGTTGGGTAGCAACCGGTCCAGGAGAAGGAAAACTCTGAATTCAGAACTGTGTGTAGCCCTGGCGAAATACATACTATGCAGCTTAGGAAAGGATCGTTCGCTTTGACTCGATCATCATGACTACGGACGACTCCTTTTTCTCTTGGGAAAGGTATGAATAAACCAAATCTTCTCTCCCACCCCCGGCTATGGGTTCTATAGCTTTGAGTGTTAACCAGTCTAGGAGAAGGAAAACTCTGAATACAAAACTGTATATAAAACTGACGAAGCACGTACTATGCAGCTAAGGAAAGGATCGTTTGCAT